ATATATATATATAGAAGAAAATTTGACTTTGGAAGGGAGTTGAAAATAGATTCTTAAAAAAAAAATAGTATTTTTATTCAGCAGCTGGTAATGGAACTGGGGAAGAAAGCACAGCGGAGAAGGGAGCGTGGTTCTACTTGGCTCCGCCGCCTCCGCAGCTCTCCTTGTGCTCGGCGGCGTGAAGTCCCGTTAACCGGCGGCACGGCTTCATGGCTCAAGATAAGGTCCCCTTCTTTCTCTTTCTCTCTCTAGGCTAGATTCCAGGGACCCTGGCGCCAGATCCGGAGTCTTATTTTTCGATCTGCTTGATTCCTTTTATTCTCTTACAAGTTCTTAGTGAAGTGAAGATTCCTGAGTGGATCGGAACTTCTTGTGTCGATTAATAGTTCTTCCAGGTGAAACCAAAGTTGCTTCTATCGAATCGGGAAATTGAGGGAGTTTGCTTGGTTTTCTTCAGATATAGTGGATGAAGTCGGGGAATCAGTTTCTGTGTTGATGTATTGGGTAGTCTTAGGAAATCTAAGCTTGATTAACTTGTTTTAGAGCTGGTATTGTTGTTGCTTGCGACCCAGACTTCTCATCGTTGGCTGAGGAGGATGGTAGCGTTTGGTTCTCTCGGACTGTTTTATTGCTGGATTTGCACGTTTGGAGGCATGGGATACTTGTCGTGCAAGTTTTCTTTCTTGAAACTTCCCCTTCCTTGCTTTCGTGAGTTTTTCGGTTGCAGATTGGGCTTCTAATTGGCTTCATGGTGGGTGCGGAGGGGAGTTATTGAGTGAGGATTGTGCTTGCTGTTTAAACTTTGTGGTGCTTGGTTCTTACTGCAGGAACATACTTACTTCTTACTTCTTACTGCAGGAACCATCTCTGATGGAGGGGAATGATCCAGTAACAGGTCATATCATCTCGACAACAATAGGTGGTAAAAATGGTGAACCAAAGCAGGTGGGCTGCTATAGTTTGATGCTTTATTTAGTTTAGTGGATTCCTTCCAGTGATATTTTAGTGATGTATCTTGCAATCTACTTCTTAATTTTCATCCAGACAATTAGCTACATGGCGGAGCGTGTTGTGGGAACTGGATCTTTTGGGATTGTCTTCCAGGTAGAGGATTTGGCTTTGTATTCTGTTTGAATATTTGATGGTTGGGCTGTCAGAAAAGTTTTGTTTTCAAACAGCTCATGTTTTGCTCGCTAAATAGCTTGTGTTCGATTCGTTTGTTAAGCAAGAGAGCCAAAAAATAGTATCTTTTTTCTAGCTTGATTTTTAAATGAGTTGAACATAGAAAAACATTTGTTTGATTGTGTTCTTCTCTTTTTTGGCTCAAATTAATTTAATAATTAAGTAAATAATAATATTATAATGTTTTCTAATAAAATTTTATGTTGTATTTAAAAAACATTAAATTTTATTAATTTTTAAATAATTTGAGCTGATTTTGAGCTGAAGATGAGTTGAATCGAACAAACAAATTTGAATTTGGCCAAACATGAACATGTTATTATCAAGCCATTTTGAACACAAACCTATTTTGAGTCAAAAAGAATGAACGAGCTGAGCATGAACAAACATTGGGCTTACTCTAGTTGGGCTCGTTTGCATCCCTATTTGACGGTATTCTCTATTTTTTATCTAACTTAAGCTACCTTTTGTACAGGCCAAATGTTTGGAGACGGGAGAGGCTGTTGCTATAAAAAAAGTTTTGCAGGATAAAAGATACAAAAACCGTGAGTTACAGTTGATGAGATCGATGGATCACCCCAATGTGATTTCCTTGAAGCATTGTTTTTTCTCTACCACTAGTAGAGATGAGCTCTTTCTAAATCTTGTGATGGAATATGTACCCGAAACTCTGTACAGTGTTTTAAAGCACTATAGCAATGCAAACCATAGGATCCCCGTCCCGCTCATCTATGTCAAGCTTTATGCCTATCAGGTCGGCCCTTAAGCCTCCCTTTTAAAACCATTAGGTGGATTTTCTCATCTTTAATCTTGATTTGATCTATTGTGTGCAGTTATTTAGAGGGCTCGCGTACATTCATAACGCCTCTGGAGTTTGCCATAGGGACATCAAACCACAAAATGTTCTAGTATGTTCTTGAATCTTTAACTTGTGTCTTAACTTTTAATTCTTTTCTGGGTGCACTGATTTTATCTCTTATGAAATTTGGTTTCATGCAGGTTGATCCTCTTACTCACCAAGTCAAGATATGTGATTTCGGAAGTGCTAAAATGCTGGTATGTTTTGAGTTTAGATTGAGATCAGGATATGTAAAAATGGAAACTGTTTCATCCAGCTCTTTGAAATAACAGTCAACTTCAAACGAATTGAATCAAACATATTGCACAAGATTAACATAAGGGCCACTATCTTTAGAAATGTCGGGCATCATTTCTAACTTCTTTATTGTGTAATTTTCTGTGTGTATGTTTAAATAATAAATAAATTGGGTTATGTGTATATTATTTATTGTTGTATTATTATTATTATTTATATAGATAAATTTGAACTTCAATTTTAAAAATAAATAAGTTAAACTATTTGATACGAATAAAAATAAAACAAAAGTTTAAATAGATTATAAACATAATTAATAAATAAATATAATTATATCATTATACATATAACATTTTAAATATGCATTGAATGTCTTGAAATTCATGGAACTACATCATACATATGATTTTTGCATACAAAGTACCCTTTGGAAGTCCTCCAAATTAAGAGTAAAATGACCTCATATTGGAGCACCTACTTTGAGGTTTATTTGTTCTTCCTCTCTTAATTTCTATTGCATCCTTATATGCTGCTCACAAAACATGTGATTTGCGATCTCTAAATTTACATCCCCTCTCTCTACAAACATCCCATTAATATGCACTTCTTAGGTTCTAATCCCTTATAGCAGGAGCATAGACGAGGCAATTAGGGTTGTAAATGAACTAATACACTTGATGAACTCGAATTTGACTCGAGTCATACTTAACCATTTTCGTTCAAATTAATAAATAAACAAGTTTGATCATTTTTTTTGAAAGTCGAAGGTTAAATGAACCAAATTTAAATTTAGTTTAAATTATTTATTAATTGCCATGAACAAACTTTTTTGTTGTTCAACAAAAAAATTAGGAAATGCTCTGTGCTTATATAATATTTTATTTAAATAAAATTAAATTAACTAGAATATATTTAACTATATATTTAATAATAACATATTATAATTTAATATTGGAATGCTATAAATTCAAAAAAATTTTATCATATTTTTTTTATTTCAATGAATTATTTGTTAGTATTTATTTATGTTATTTGATTGCAAGAAACCTTATTCAGCTTATATATTGTTTTATTTACTTAGTATAAATTAGTTAGATACAACAACAACAATAATAAGTCTTTATCATGCTAAGTGGGGTCGGCTACATGAATCAATTTTCTTCCGTGTGTTCTATTCAGTGTCATAATTTCATTTGATTCTAATAGATTAAGATCATTTTTTATACGATATGCCCATGTCTTTTTTGGTCTATCTCTGTCTTTCATAACATTGGTCGAATCTAAGGGTTTGTTTGGGGCTGCTGCAACTTAATAATAAGTTGTTGCGCAACATCTGCCACGGGAAGCTGGTGTGCAGAAACAGCTGTGGATAAGTTGATTGTCTGTTTGTTTTTTACAGTTTGAAAACAACTGTGTTGCAGCTATTTTTAGACTAATAACTATTCTACTTTTGTATAGTAATGTTGTTTGCAAAAGAATTGTTCATAACAGTATATTCTATACTTTAAAAGCAAATATTCAGTACAGAATATTACAAAATAAAGATAGACATCTCACTTAATAGTATGACTATCAAAATTAAGAAAGTACTATTAAAATAATAATGAATAATCTGATAATATTATTTTTAACATGCAGAAGGCGTATGTCACAAGCTAAGTCATTCTCTAGGGATACTCTCCATGCCTGATCACTCTCGATAATGGAATCTTCCAGCTTATCTGCCCGCCAAAAATAGATACAGTTTTTCGTGATTCTCCATGGGCACCTATAAAACTGTCTCTGGTAGCTATGTAGCTGACGTGAAATTAGCAGGGAATTTTGAAGTCCACAGTAACATTGCAATCCTCTGGAGGTACAAGAACTCATCGAGCTCATATTTCCTGAAGGCTTAAAAAACATACTCTTAGACATAGCATAGGTAAAAATTGATAACATAAGTAATTAATTAAATTTTTATGCAATTGTGAGGTCTCAAAGAACTTAGCATATAAACCAACTAATCTGTCACTATAAGAATACAACAGACCTTATAAATGCATTGGTTTTGAGTGCCCTATATGTAGTTTATACAAAACATTGCCATCCACAAATGAAGCATCCTCTTTCATCCATTTTTCAAATTCTCACTCAAACATAAAAGGTAGTGATAAAACCTCATCCCATATTTTTCATTTGAAGCAATTACATACAAGTCACCCAAAACATTGCTATCTACAAATTAAGCACCCTTATTCATCCATTTTTCAAATTCTCGCTCAAAGATAAAAGATAAGCATTCCATAATTTTGAATTGAGGCAATTACATACAGGGCATCCGAAACAATGCTATGTACAAATTAAGAACCTTATTTCATCCAATTTTCAAATTCCCACTCAAAAATCGGTGGAGGTAATGATATAAAGCCATCCCATATTTTTCATTTCATCCAGTTACATATAGGGCACTCGAAACATTGCTATCTACAAATCAAGCACACTCTTT